CCGAGGCAGTAGACAAAGGAGGGGATTTACAGAAACTGCTAGCCGACGTACCGAGTGATCTGGCAGCACTGTTGAAACAGTACAGTGACATTTTCCCGGACGACCTACCGACGGGACTGCCACCTCAGCGACCGCACGACCACAGGATAGAACTAGAATTGGGGGCACAACCGACAGTACAGTGACAGTTCCGACTGACCCAACCCGAACTGGACGAACTGAGGAAGCAGCTGGATTACCTGCTAGAGAAGGAGTTCATTCGCCCTAGTTCGTCGCCCTTCGCAGCACCAATACTGTTCACGCCGACAAAAGACAGGGGATTTCGCATGTGCATAGATTACAGAGCACTGAACAGGGTTACCATCAAATCCCGTTACCCCATCCCGCGAGCCGACGAACTGATCGACCAACTGCGCACAGCCCGGGTTTTCTCGAAAATTGACCTTCGAGGGGGTTACCACCAGATTCGCGTCAACCCACCCGACTGCCCCAAGACAGTCGTCCGAACACGCTACGGATCCTTCGAATTCACCGTCATGCCCTTCGGACTGACCAACGCCCCCGCCACTTTTCAAATGACCATGAACGAAGCCTTCCGCCCGCTTTTAGATAAGTGCGTCATCGTATACATGGACGACATACTGATTTACAGCCCCGACAGAGCACAGCACTTATAGGACATCGAAGCAGTTTTTAAGATACTGAGTGAGAACCGCCTACTGACAAAAGCGTCTAAGTGTGAGTTTTTACAGGACCGACTGGAGTTTTTGGGACACGTCATTTCAGCTGCAGGAGTGGAAATAGACCCGAAAAAAAAAATGCGACGATTCAAGCATGGCACGCGCCGACCAACTTGACCGAGCTGCAGAGTTTTTTGGGGTTCGTCAACTACGTGCGCCGGTTCGTCCCCGACATGGCGAAGCTGACTGCCCCGTTGACCGACCTGCTGAGGAAGGGGGTTGAGTACACGTGGGGGGAGAAAGAGCAAGCTGCCTTCTCGGCCCTCAAAAATATTTTGTGCTCACCGCCCGTACTTCATATCGCAGATCCACACCGTCCGTTCGAGCTCGTCACCGACGCTAGCGACATCTTTGTGGGAGCAGTACTGTTGCAGGACTTCGGGAACGGCCTTCAGCCAATCGCGTACGAGTCCCGCAAGCTTCACCCGCCCGAACGCAACTACCCAATACACGAGCGCGAGATGCTGGCGATCGTGCACGCGTTCAAGGTGTGGCGATGTTACCTCACAGGAGCAGACGTGACAGTACGGATAGACCACCGATCCCTACAGTACCTTCGCGCCCAACCGAATCTCAACCCACGACAGATTCGCTGGTTGGACTATCTGGAGTCCAACTTCCACTACACGGTCACGTATAAAAAAGGCGCATCCAACATCGCCGACGCACTCACACGCCCCACCGCCCAACTCCACGCCATCCTACTCGCCCAAACCAACCCACTGTTAACAGGCCTATTTGTCAGAATCCCAACCACTAGACCATTGGGATAAAAGGGCTTGTTTGTGCGCCCATAACCCCCCAGGCCTACATGCCTGTAACCCTTCCCTAGGATCAATCGGGGATCACCAGTGGACCTCTGACACCCCCCTGCACTGGGATGCCCGAAGTGCACACACCGGGATTCGAACCCGAGACCTTCGCTCTGATACCATGTCAGAATCCCAACCACTAGACCATTGGGATAAAAGGGCTTTTTTGTGTAGCGGGTAAGTGCGCCCATAACCCCGCAGGCCTACATGCCTGTAACCCTTCCCTAGGATCAATCGGGGATCACCAGTGGACCTCTGACACTATTCACCCACGGATACAGTACCGACCCATTTTTCACGACCGGAAATTCACAGCAACTGGCAGAGGCCAGAGGAGTCTATTACGTAAAAACAGGCACCAACCGCATCTGGGTACCCGCGTACTCACTACTGAGGGAACTGTTACTGCAGGAGGCACACGACGGGATTACCTCGGGACATTTCGGGGTAGAAAAAATGCGACAGCAACTGCAGCGGTATTACTACTGGCCGGAGCTGTTGACCGACGTACAACACCACGTGGGATCGTGTCCTACGTGTCAGGTGATGAAGAGCTCACGAAAAAGAAAGGCGGGTCAGTTGCAGCCGATCCCACCGCCTGAGCGCACCTGGCAGCAGGTTACCATGGATTTCGTCACAGGGTTACCTTCGAACCCTGGGGGTAACGACGCAGTTATGGTCGTCGTTGACAGGTTGACGAAGATGGCACACTTAGCTGCGTGCAAGAAATCGATCTCAGCCGAAGAAACTGCTCGCATGTTCATCGCAACCGTCGCTCGACTACAAGGGATACCAGTCGCGATAATCAGCGACCGCGACACGAAGTTCACCAGCAACTTCTGGAAGAACCTCTGGGAGCAGTTCGGGACAAGGCTACAGTTCAGCTCGTCGTACCACCCCGAGACCGATGGTCAAACGGAGCGGACGAATCAGACGATGGAGCAGTTGATTCGCGCCACGTGCGACGACCCGACCACTTGGGAGCAGCAGTTGCCGCTGATCGAGTTCGCGTATAACAACGCCACGTCAGCGACGACACAGCAGTCCCCTTTCTACCTGAATAACGGGCAAAACCCTGCAGTGCCCATGACGCCGAGCCCGGACAACCCAACACCACGTGCACAGCAATTCGCCGAAATTCTGCAAGCTACACGCACCAGAGCCGCAGAAGCAATTAAAAAAGCCAACGTCATCGCTAAGCGCAACGCTGACCGCCACCGCCGCCAAGTCACGTACCAGTCAGGAGATTACGTACTGCTCGACACACAGAACTTAAGACTGCCCGTCGTACTGAAATTACGACCCCGCTACTGTGGACCATTCCAAATCAGCCACATGATTACCCCAGTGACAGCTCACCTACTGTTGCCGATGGACTGGTACATCAGCCCTTCGTTCCACGTCAGCCTGCTTCGCCCATACATCCCAACCACAAGCCAATCATCGGAGCCGATCATCGAGCCCGAAAAAATCCTGAGCCATCGAATTCGACACCCCACGGGAATCAGGAGGATTGAATTCCTCGTTCGCTGGAAGGATCGCACGCCAACTGAGGATAGCTGGGTGCCCTGCCCTACAAGTGTACCTGAGGAGCCGGGGCTTCCGCGATATACACGCACTCGCGTAGCAGAGGGGGCTTCTTAAGGGGGGGGGGGGGTAGTGCAAGGAATTTTCTCGATATTCCTTAGCGCACCCTGAGAAACTTAGAACGAGAATGAATTGACTAAGGAATGAAAGTGATACAAATATGAAACCCTAGAATTGTGTACCCCTTAGTATCTAACCCGCTACAGCCTACACAGGCTAGATCATATAAGTTTGACACACCCCCATAGGCAAAGTGGGCGAGAACAAGGGGTCACAAGACCAGTCAAGCAAAGCAAGGCAAAGCAAGCTCAGGGTGGATCACAACGTCACCACACATTCTGAGCACAAGTTCAAGGCCACAAGGCCAGTTCACATGCATGAGTACACACATATATATAACGCTAAACAAGCAAGAGCAGGTATATATATATGTAACAGTACAAGCAAGGTCAAGAAGTGAGCAAGTGAGGCAAGGTAGGTACAAGACCTAACAGAGTACAGAAGCGCTGATGGTCACAAGGCGCAAGTGCCTTGGTGAAGATATCAGCAGTGTTGGCCTCAGAGGCCACGTAAGCAAGGCGCACCTGACCGCGCTGCTGAAGCTCACGAGCAAGGAAGTAGCGCAGAGCGATGTGCTTCGTTCTGTGCTCCAGTCTGTGCTCCCGACACAAGGCCAGCATAGCCTTGTTGTCTACGTACAGAACTGGAGGAGAACGAGGCGGCTCTCCTAGGTCAGTCAGCAGGTAGGTGAGCCAGCGTAGCTCCTGTGCAGCCATGGCCCCTGCGTAGATCTCAGCCTCACAACTGGAGCCGAGAACAGAAGACGAGCGGGTAGACCGCCACGAAACAGAGCCGGAACCAAGGCTGAAGGTGTAACCCTGTGACGACCGCTGCGTAGCCTGGTCGTCAGCCCAAGAAGCGTCTGCGTGACCAGTGAGGACCACTGGACTCCGCCCTCCAAGCACAAGCCCCATGCCCGACGTACTGCACAAGTAGCGCAACACCCTCTTCGCTGCAGCCATGTGCTCTGGTCTGTGTCTCCCAGGAGCAACATAGCGTGCCAGAATGCTAAGAGGGTATGCAAGGTCAGGTCGAGTGCAGGTCATCAGGTACATGAGGCAGCCAACAAGCTCTGGGTACGGGCCACTCGACTCTACGGACTCATCCGAAGGCAAATCTGAGAGCGAGTGGCGAGTAGACAGAGGAGTGGCCTGAGGCGAGGAGTACGTGAAGCCGAAGCGCTGAAGGACCTGCTGCACCATGTGTGACTGAGTCAAGGTAATGGTGCGCTGTGCTCTGTCCCGGGTGATGTGCAAGCCAAGGTAGCTGCGCAGTTCACCCAGGTCTGTGCACGTGTGTCTCTTCTGCAGCTCGGACTTCACGTGGGCGAGTCCAGCAGTGTCAGCTGTGGCAAAGACCAAGTCGTCGACGTACACGAGGATGTAGAACGACAGCAAAGAAGTGTCGGTGCGCAGAAACAGCGACGGGTCGGCAGTAGAAGGAGCAAACCCAAGAGCCGCAAGTGTAGTCCTCAGTGTCTCGTGCCACTCACGAGGTGCCTGGCGGAGACCGTAGACTGGCCGCCGGAGGCTCCACTGGGTACCAGGAGGAAAAGACCCAGTGAAGTCAGGTGGGCAGCGCAGCCAGATCTCCTCGTGCAGGCTGCCCTGCAAGAAAGCAGTGCTGAAGTCAAGAGAGTGAAGCTCGTAGTCACGGTGAGCGGCTATGTGCAGCAGTACCCGAAGAGTGGTCATCTTCGGGGTGGGAGAAAAGGTCTGAAAGTAGTCAACTCCCTGCCGCTGACTGAAGCCACGAGCCACGTAGCGCGCCTTGAAGACAGGCGGAGAACCCGGCGGCCGCTTCACCCTGAAAATCCACATGCCACTGACGATGTTCGCCCCAGGAGGGGGAACCTCGTCGACGTAGGTGCCTGTGGACTTCCAGGAAGCCATCTCTGCATCCATGGCTGCCAGGGGGAGGACGCTGACGCGAACCACGACTACTAGTGCGAGCAGCACGGACAGGCGACGCAGGACGAGACGCAGGCTCACGACGCTCAGCAAGACCTCCAGTAGGACCAGTGTAGGGAGAAGGAGCAGGCAGAGGAGAGGTAGGCTGTAACTGTGACTCGGATTGGACAGGCGGTGGACACTCTAAGGGAGGAGCCGGACTAGCATAGGGCGGAAGACCAAGAACCTGCTCAAGGAGCGGAACGAAGTACGGCCGCGGCCGCTCAGCACCACCAGCACCAGAAGGGACAGCACCAGCACCCCGAACGACAGCACCAGCGCCAGCAGCACCCCCAGCTCCAGCAGCGCCAACTCCAGTACCCTCAGAGGCACCAGCACCAGAGGCACCCTCAGCGCCAACTCCCCCAGCAGCTCCAGCTCCAGCCGGACCACCAGAAGACGCAGCGGGTCCAGCTCCGGCACCCGCAGTAGCACCGACGCCCGCAGCACCACCAGCTCCAGTACGAGAAGCACCCGCAGGCCCGGCAGCTCCAGTACTCCCAGTACGAGCACCTCCGGGACCCGCGGCACCAGCACCCTCAGCAGCAGCAGAACCTCCAGCACCCGCAGCACCTCCAGCTCCAGCAGCTCGCCTCCAGCGCCGGGCAAACCACTCACGCAGCTCCTGTGGAGAGAGTAGCTCCCGCCGGGACGAAGCACCCGAAGAACCTCCAGGCCCAGCACCGCCAGACGCCACACGAGCAGGTCCAGTACCCTCAGACTCCGCACCCCCAGACGCAGCACCCCCAGGCTCAGCACCCCCAGATGCAGCACCCCCAGGCGTAGCACCCCCAGGCTCAGCACCCCCAGGCGCAGCACCCCCAGAGTCAGCACCCCCAGGCTCAGCACCCCCAGAGTCAGCACCCCCAGACCCAGCACCCGCAGGCTCAGCACCCCTAGCAGCACCAGAGTCAACAGCTACCTCGACAGGGTCGACTGCGTCTACCTGAGACACACCTGAGGGGGCAGGACCCTGAGGGGGGAGGGGGTCTACCGGAGGGGGACCTGGCGTAAGGAAGAGCGGCGGGGGGGGGAGGGACGCAGTGCGGTAGGGGAAGAGACGGTAGTAGGGAACCGACTCGTCAAACGTGACGTCCTGGGAGGACAGAACACGGCGCGAGGTGGGGTGGTAGAACTGCCAGCCCGGCGCGTCAGGGGGGAAGCCAAGGAAGACGCAGGGAACAGCACGAGGGGACAGCTTATCCGCAGACAAGTCGCGGACAAACGCCCGAGATCCCCAGACACGGAACGCAGACGCATCGCCAACCTTCCCCGTCCACAGCAAAGCAGGGGAGGTCTCCGGCATGGAGACCCGGGGCTGAAGGTTGATCTGATGCGCCGCGTACCGAACCGCAAACGGCCACAGAAAATGGGGGGCAGCCGCATGGACCATGGACGTACGAGCGACGTCCATGACCATGCCAATGCGGCGCTCAGCAATCCCATTTTGCTGCGGAGAGTCCGGAAGCGTGAAGGTCTGGCGGATGCCTCGTGCACGACAGAAGGCTCGCAGAAGGTCAGAGGAGAACTCTCCGCCTCTGTCAGAGTGCAGACGCAGAATAGGAAAGTCCGAGCCGAAACTCTCTCTGAGCTGGAGACGAGCTGCGCGGATCCAGGCGATCAACACCTCAGTGGCCTCACCCTTGCTGCACAAGGGGAAGACTGCGGTGTAACGCGAGTAGTCGTCAACCACCAGCAGGAAGTAACGCTCGTGACCCTGTCCACGGACGCGGGCTGGGCCCCACACGTCCATGTGAAGCGTCTGCAGTGGAGCCTCTGTCTGAGGAAACTCGGAGGAGTGAGGAGCAGCGCGCTGCCGCCCCTCGACGCAGGGAACGCAGGTGGGGGCAGGCCCCGGAGGAAGGGGAGGGAGGGACCGGGGGAGACCAGAGACAAGGACACGAGAGGCCATGCCTCGAAGACGAGGCAGGGAGGGGTGACCAAGGCGGTGGTGCCAGAGGAGAGTCTGGTGAGACAGGAGACGACACGAGCAGGGGGCAGACTCAGGACCAGACCTGGACGCCGCAGCAAACACCTGACCCGACGCGGCTACCTGAGCAGACTCAGCGACCGGAGGAGACTCAGTGGTCAGTGTGTACAGGCTCGACCCCGGCTGACGGGTAAACGTGGCCAAGTGATGGCCCGTCCGAGCACAGGTACAGTGGGTCACTCGCTGACTCGTAGGAGTGAACTGCTGAACCCCTCCATCCTGGAGGTCAGCACCACTCACCAAGTTCGTAGAGAACGAGGGGAGGTAAAGACCCGACAGGGTGCCAGAAGGGGCCGCCGGACACGGTAGAACAGTGGAGAAGTGGGCAAGGACAGGACCCCCAGAGGGGTCTGCCAGGGAGACTGCCACTGGCCGACTAAGCGGCGTAAGCGTGGTGCGGTCTCGAAAGAAGGAGCGGGAAGCACCCGAGTCAAGGGTGAAGGTGTGGGTGGCCGGAGCCGACGCGGTACCTGAGAGCGCAGACTCACCAGCACCTGGGGCAGCAGGCTCACTGGCACCTAGAGCAGCAGCCTCACTAGCACCTAGAGCAGCAGCCTCAATGCCCGGGTCAGGCGGAAAACACCGGTAACAGTCACCCTCATCACTAATAGTCACAGCATACATTGCAGCAAGAATAGCATCATAATCAAGATCAAAGATCGCAACACCCGCCCTAAACAGCTCGCCCCAGCGAGGGATCTCAGTAGCGTCGGGGAACTGATGACGCCAAGCGTCCGTCAGGCGGCCGAAGCAGCGCTGGGTAAAGTGCGGACCCCCACACTGCTCACCCGTGCGGTCGCCTGTACGTAGAACGTAGGTACAGGGGCCAGCACCCCCACCCCACTGACGAGCAGTGTACCACTCACGAAGCTGCTGGGGGGAAGGGGTCTCACGAGTGCGCTGCTGCTGCTGCTGCTGGCGCTGACCACCACCGGAGCCGACCCTCTGCGAAGAGCCGCCCCGACCAGCTCCACCTCCGCCGCCGCTACCTCCACCACCGCCTCCACCTCCACCACCTCCGCTCGCACCGCCACCACCGCCGCCTCCTCCGCCTCCACTGCCGCCACTAGTGCCCCCACTCCCGCCACCACTCCCACCGCCACCCCCACCCCCTCCGCCGCCTCCACCGCCCCCGCCAGCTCCTCCAGCGCCCTTGCCCCCCTTGCCCTTGCCTGAGCGGCGTCTCCCGCTAGGGGCAGACGCCGCGCCGACCGACTCAAGACCAACGATGTCGGCCGCAGCAGCAGAGGCAACAGAGGGCAAGAGGGGGGAGGGGGAGCACCCCTCAAAGACAGGGGTACGAGGGTCACCACGAGAGGCTCCTACAGCGACTATACTCGTTTCTGCTGCTAGGAGGCACTCCTCGAGGAGGTCAACGGTGAGGGTGGTGGGGCAAACAGAGAGGAAGTGGTCCCTGACCGAGCGAAGGGTGTGAGGGAGCCGGGTGACTATGTAGTAGAGGGTGATGTACATAGGGGGGGGGTTCTTGATGCAGAACTCAGCAGGAAGCGCAGCGCGGTAGCGAATGTCACTAGTGCGAAGGTGCGTAAAAAGGTCAGCGACTGTGGGAAAAGCGGCGAGGTCAGGGAAGAGGTACGGCAGTATGAGGCGGCTAAGGGCAGCAGTGGCAGGGGAAGAGTAGCGTGCAACGACAGCGTCGTACAAGGTCTTAGCACTCTTGTACTGACTAAAATGCGCGCGCTCAGCGGTCGGTAAGTGGCGGCGCACAGCAAGGCGAGCAGCAGCATCGCGCGTGGCCCACTGTGAGCGAACAGTGGCGTCAGCATCATCAGCAGGGGCAGGAGAGGCACCAGAGGTGAGGTCAAACAGAGAGAGACCGTCTGCCCTATCGCACTGTAGGAAAAGCTGCAGATCATCTACCCAGACCTCAAAGTCAACAGCCCGACCCTCAGCGTCAAAGGTGAGAACACTGCGGGTGGCCATGACAGCAGTAGACTGGCAGAGAGAGCAGCGGGGTAGGGCAGTGCAGTGGCAGAGGCGCTGCTCTTACCAGGCAGGTGGGGCGGGCCGAGGCAGGCCGGCAGGGACAGGGCCGCGACTGCAGGGACTGCGGCGTCTCGGCTGCGGCGGCGTGGCGGCTCGGCGGCTCGGCGGCTCGGCGGCTCGGCGGCTCGGCTGTAGGGCGGCTCGGCGGCTCGGCGGCTCGGCGGCTCGGCAGCTCGGCGGCTCGGCAGCTCGGCGGCTCGGCGGCTCGGCAGCTCGGCGGCACGGCGGCAAGGGCGGCTCGGCGGCTCGGCGACTCGGCGGTGATGGCGGCTCGGCTGCTCGACGGGGCCGGGAAGGGCGGCTGAGGGGCCGAGGAAGGGCGGCAGGGCCGCGAAGGGCGGCGACGGGGCCGCAAGGGGCGGCAACGAGGCCGCTGAAGGGCGGCGACGAGGCCGCTGAGGGGCGGCGACGGGGCCGCTGAAGGGCGGCGACGAGGCCGCGAAAGGGCGGCGACGGGGCCGCGGAAGGGCGGCAATGGGGCCGCTGAAGGGCGGCGACGGGGCCGCGGAGGGGCGGCGACGTGGCCGCTGAAGGGCGGCGACGAGGCCGAGGGGAGGGGGGACGGCGACGGGGCCGCTAAGGGCGGCTACGGGGTCGCGGCTCGGCGGCGACGGGGCCGAAAGGGGCAGCGACGGGGCCGTAAGGGGCGGCGACGGGGCCTTAAGGGGCGGCGACGGGGCCGTAAGGGGCGGTCGCGGGGCCGTGAGGGGCGGCGACGGGGCCGTAAGGGGCGGTCGCGGGGCCGTGAGGGGCGGCGACGGGGCCGTAAGGGGCGGTCGCGGGGCCGTGAGGGGCGGCGACGGGGCCGTAAGGGGCGGTCGCGGGGCCGTAAGAGGCGGTCGCGGGGCCGTAAGGGGCGGCGACGGGGCCGCTACGGGGCCACGCGGGGCCTAGAGAGGGCAGCGACGGGGCCTGAGGGGCCGCTAAGAAGGGCGCGACCGGTGGCTAAGGGCGGGACACTAGGCGCGCTTCGGGCAGGGGCGGCACGCGCCCCGGGTAGGAAAAAAAATCTTGGTGGGCCCTAGGAACAGTTCCCACGAGGGAACCTGCTCGATACCATGAGAAACTTAGAACGAGAATGAATTGACTAAGGAATGAAAGTGATACAAATATGAAACCCTAGAATTGTGTACCCCTTAGTATCTAACCCGCTACAGCCTACACAGGCTAGATCATATAAGTTTGACACACCCTGCAACATCGCGTACAGCAGCAGCCGTTGTTCGCCCGTTACTGCTAACGGGGCTTCGCCGACTTCGCGCGCACTGTTTCACCAAACCTCGCACGGCTGGCCTGGCCGTGTCGGCCTACGCTTCGGGACTAGCCCGAGCCTCGCTTCCAGCATAGCACTAGCTAGCTCGCACGCACCGCGTTACCGTTTGCATGTTTCGCGTATAAATGTTCGTTCATGCCTTCGCTCACATTTTGTACTCGTTTGACACCTTAGTGCAATTCTCGCTACTTCGATTGATTGCACCCGTAACATCTGGAGTCGCACAGTTTGATTTCGTTGTAATAAGGTAATGTTTCTAATCAGCAAATTGGGTAATCAGCAAACTGGGTAATTGCAAACTGGGTACCCCCTTAAGGTACATTGCTAGCTAGGTCGTTTCACATTCCCCTGTACTCTTATTTATACGATTGTATTTGCATATTTTAATCATCTTAGTCATTTTACATTCACTCTTATTAGAGGCAAAGGGCCCAACACTACCACACATTCTCCGACAACCTACCCGAGGTGATCCTAGGGACGATGAATTTTCTGATCGCAACAGAATGCACCGCATCTTCACCCAACCACATGCAGTGCGCCGCATGAGTGAAGCGCCCGATTGCCAGGAGTTGGCGTTTCTTGGAACGCTCGCCCGTATATATATATATATATATATATATATAAAAACACGGGGGCCATTAAGGCTGTTTGGTTGCCCTCCAGAACCAGTTAGTTTCGGCAGCCATCCGCTTATCAAGGAAGGTTAGATGGTGGTCGTTTTCCTGTATCCGTGCGGGCTGATGTGCCAGCCGAACAAGGCCGTGCAGTAGCTAAGGTAGCTCTCGACTTGGTGACACCTAAACAAAGGTAGGATGGATGAGGCAATTTGGGGGAACTCGAGACTCCGGATGAGAACTTGGGGTTGGTGAGTATTATACATACGTACATGGAATAGAAGCTCATAGTTGCATCCAGTGTAGTGTGGTTTCCGAACTAAGCTCTGTACGGCCTAGTACTTGTAACGGCACGTTTCTGTGCCATGAACATGGTGATGGTGCTGTTTTGTTGGAGCCATGTCGGCTTCGAGTCCAACAGAGAGCCAGCTGGCAATGAAACGGCGACTAGAAGGCATGCTGAACGAAAACATTTGGCGTTGAGGTGCAATTACCCAGTTTGCTGATTAGAAACTCAGCATTACCCAGTGCATATATTTGCTGCTGTGTTACATCCCGTGTTTCCACCCAGTTCTGACATGTTGATGCCCTAATAATTCGTTTAAAACACCCTGAATCTCAACGAACTTGCAGTATTTTGCTCTTCCAAGTGGAATATGCTCTGGTCGCTCTGTGAGACAAGGTACGTAAGATGTGGATGCGATTCGACGACTTCAAACTGTAACCACCAACCACCACGGACTTGAGGCGAACCAGCGAATGTCAGTTCAGTTCAGTCAGCCAGCTCCATCCATCTCTGTTCGCCTTCCATCCGTTTCCCTCGCTGTGGCTTCTCGAACCCAAACACACGCACCACCCACTCCCTCCCTCTTCCACCCCACACTTAGGCCAATGGCGACACTGCAGTGCATCCAGTGTGGTTGGATCTGACGTGCGCTGCTTCTTAACGAACCACAGCCGTCGGATCGTCTCTGCTTCTTTTCCAGTCAATGCTGCCCCCTCTACTCCTTCCCCCCACAGATAATCAGGCCAAGGAGCATTGTCCTCGACCACTGTTTGCTGCCACTGTTTGCTGCCTCTGTTAGGATGGAGACAGCGAAGGTGAGTGGAACTCAAGACAGTCACGTAGGGTTGATGGTGAGCACAATTTTGATCACTCTAAATTTGCACTCCAGACGAGATCGTGACTTGGAATGACGCGCATGTGTATCTACTACACGAGCAGTGATGCCGAATTAGAGCGAGTCTGAACTGAGCGTGCAACACGTTCCCAATTCATGGCGACAGACACGCAGCGACGGGCGAGCTCCATCTCTCGCCTAATTGCGCCGCCGCCGCTAGACCTCCCGGCTTTCTCCCACCAGCCACCCCCGCAGCAATGCTCTCCTCGCTTCCGCGAGCTCGCACCCTCTCCCTCTGCGCGCGACACAAACGCTCCGAGTCGCGCAGCATCCAACCGCCATGCCACGCCTCGTTCTCCACTCGCCTCTTGCCGGTCTGCTAGCGTGAATAACGGAGAGACCTCGTCCGCGGCGTCTCCTTCCTCGCCTCGCCTTGCCTCCACCCCGGACTCCGCCGTGCCCGGTCGCTGTCGCGCGCGCCAAGGACCCGCGTCCCCGAGTGGCGGTCAGGGTGGCGCGCGCACGGGGCATCTCTCCGCCCACGGCGACTCCCCCTCGTCGCGCTACAGAACCATGGTCGAGTCGAAGAGCTTTCCCGCCGCCACTTCGCCGCAACTGCCGGCGCCAGGCGCGCGGCTTCCTTCGTCGCAGAGCTGCGGCGCTGCCGTTTCGCAGCGCCCCGCTTCCCCGCACGCGCGTTCTCCGTTCGCTTCGCCGCGTACTGCTTCCCCTCGCCCCCCCTCCCCGTTCTCCTCCCCGCGTCACGCTTCTCCGCTTTCCTCTCCTAGTAACGCCAACCATTCTGGAGCGCGGCGCCCGCCAAGCGATCAACAGTCCACAAGGCTAGGCCCCTCGCCAGCAGAAGCAGCTTACGAGGACTGGCCGTCAACTGACGTGTCACCGTCGGGATTCTCACTCGCAGCGGCAGGCCCGCCGTCCCCGTCGACAGCAGGAGCGGCTGTAGCGGGGCTGCGGTCGCGGAGCCGGCTCGGTCCAGGCTACAACCACGCGACAGCCGACGACGCCACAGGCAGCCCTCGCTGCGCCTCACCCCACCATGCCCCTGCCACTAGTCCCGGGGCCGTTACCGCGTTAGCCCCTAGCGCAAACCGCACGGCACTAGGAACTCCCGCTGTGAGCACGCAGGAATGCAACAATCTGCCGGATCCCGCGCGACCGCAGCCCAAGGCCACGTGGGGTAGCCCGCACGACGCGCACAGGCCGGTGTCCCCGAAGAACCAGCCGGTCCGCCGCTTTGCGCTTCCGCCAAAGCTGCTGTGCGGTTCCTTCTCCCCCTCCTCCCCGTCATCCCTCTCCCCCGCCACCCCCTCCCCGGTCCATCCCTTCTCCCCAGCCTCCCCTTCTGCCCGCAAACACTCCGGCGCGTTTCCGCATTCCGCCTCTGCCCCTTTTTCTTGTCCCCCTTCCGCCTCCCCGGCATCTCCCGCCTCCCCCACGCCCTCTGCTTTCCCCCCCTCCGCCTCCTGCTTCTCCTCCTCCTCAACCGTGTCGCACTCGCGATTCGCATCGCTGTCGCCAGCGTCGCCCCTGGGCGTGCTAAAGTCGCCCACGCCGCATTCCCCGGCGAGCAGGAGCGCGTCGCCGCAGCCCAAGAGCCCGCTGGGGCGGACGGCAGTCGCCGCGGGAACGCACACCAGCACATGCGCTGCTAGTGCCGCCGGTGATAGCGCAAGCTGCACAAGTGAAGGGACGTTTCGTCAGCAGCAGCAGCAGCAGCAGCAGGCGCAGAGGCGGGGGGCGATCTCGGGGGCGCAGGGGCGGGCGTTCAGCATCGCGGACTTGCTGCGCCTCCACTCGCGCTCGCTCTCCTCCCGCGCTGCGCCCGATGCGCCAATCTCTGCCACCTCGCCCGCGCGCGGTGACTCGGACGAGGCGGGTTCGTGGAGGCCCGACGCGCGCTTGCGA